ACTTTCGTAGGAGTGTCCAAGTCCACCGAATCAACGACATTTGCAGACCACTTAACGGGAGACGAAGCTCGAGTAGATGCGGTCTGTGTAAGATCAATATACACCGGAGACTCGACCAGAATTGGGCTTGGTGTTCGATTGACTTTGCTGGGAATAGCATGCTGAGCCTCTTTGATTGGCGTGACTGGCGGAATTGGCTCGTCATCAACGATGAATGCGTCCTCATCTGAACTAGTCAGGACTTCTCCATCTGACAGCTCTATATGTGTTCGTTTTGGACATGTAACCGAACGCCTGGGTAGCGAAATTGGTTTGGGCGGTGGGATTCGAGACTCCAGAGTGTCTGCTACCCAACACTGGTAAAGCTTGTCTTCGACATTTTGCTCCAGCAAACGTGCCTGAAATCGAACCTGCTTTTCTTTTTCCCACGTTTGCTTCAGAATACCTCTCTCCAACTTCTTGATTCTTTCGTCATAGAACTTGGCTTGTGCCCTAGCTTCCAAAATGCGGTGCGTCTTGGCGCCCCGTCTTGACGCATCAACCCACAAAGCGTTGGCTTTGTTTTGATATCTAGGCTTCTTCTTCTCAGTCCAGTTGTTCGTCATTTCTAAAACCGATTCGTCCAGAAGCTGTCGTACTCGATCTTGTGATAGACTTTTCGAGGCGTTACTCCCCTCGAGATTTTCAGACATCTGAGCCAATTCCGTCTTTTCAGCTTCCATCTCTCTTAAGGTTTCCTCATCGACTTCATCTGGGATATCATCCAGGTCCAGGACCTTATCACCTTCGGTAGATGACTGTCTCAAAGCGTCGAGGGTCACTCCAGCATCCACCATGGCTATTTTCTTGCCGTTTTCCACCAAGACACGTCTCATAATCTTATTGATAGCGAGCCGTCTACCAGGGGGGAATCGAGTGGGTGCTGGTGTGCAAAGGGCATCACCTTCACCCTGAATCTGGAGTGTTAAAGCATCTGAGTGTGATTTGACCTCCCTCTGAGAAATGGCCCCAGGTCCAAGATATGCAAACTCATCAGCAGTATCCCATGGGTACGAGTTCAACGAATCGCTACTTAATATATCGGCCTCGGTTGCAATCGGAGCTGGTACGATATTAAGAGGCTCTTCTTGTAATAATTCAGGAGCAACTCGTTTCCTTTTTAGTTGCTTAACAGGACTGTTCGCGTCCACGACAGGTGACACTCCGCTGGGCAGAGACAACGATTCCGTCGTAGGAGCAGCGCCGACGTCCGTGGAATGGGCCCTTCCGCTATCAGCACCAAGCATGCTCAGCTCAGGGGTGTGCAAAGTACGTCCCGGATCCACAACCTGGAGTGGTAGAGGCGTAGAAGGAAATATTTTGCTGAACGAGTTCCTTGGCGTTGTCCATGGGAGAAGGAGATCAAACTGGGGAGTCCTCTGGGTTGAATACGAAGCCTCCCGGTCACGGCTACGCACGTCGCGTTCTTCGTGGCTGCTGATTTCTACGTTGTCCAGTTTCCACCGGCGGAAGGCTGGGCTCCTGGCACGCAGCTTCATGATGGCTTCCCCCAAGGCATTTTTGTGTCGGGCTAATTGAACATGAAGGAGCTGGAAAAGTTCGTTCCGCAAGTCGTGTGCGTTCGTGAGTCCAACGAGGTCATATGTCAAAAGCGTATGCCCATCGATTTCATTCTCCTGGAGCTTTGCGGCTAATATCTCCGGATTGCGTGTACAAGGACGGCTGAGATGACATAGCTCATTTGCGACCGCGCTCACATCCCATAAAAAGGGGTCTGTCGACTGAATTCCGTCCATTTGACGACATGAGAAGTCTATGAGTCAGCTTTGTCTAAAAATAATTGCGTTAGTATCAGTGACCTGGATGCGAAGCACATGCGGCAGGTTGTTAAAATTTTCATCTCATCTAAGGTCCAAAGATGTGCTCAAGACCGTCGATATAGCTATGCCACTGCCCCCGCATACTTTCTAGACGCCGCAAATGAAAAATAAAATAAAAAACATCATATGAGGTGAGCATACCTGCAATCTAAGCAGTCTAAAATGTACCTTGATATCCTGAAGACAAGAAGCAAGTCGGTGATGACCACGTCTCGGCCAAGGAGAACTCAAAACTACGTGAGACTGAAGAAAGAGTTGCTGTTCGTGTTGTTTGGGCCGATGATTGAAAACATCATGACATCGCCTACAACGGATTTACACAACTGAGTGTTGCATGCCAAAGATGCTAAAGACAAACAGTTAACGCGTTGGCGGTGGCGAAGGAAACCTGGCTTGGCATACATCGTTTGCTAGCTGTGCCAGCTGCCCCACGAGCCCTCCTGAAGGTCTGACAGCTGTCGCTGGGTGGCTACGAGAACTGGCACGTGACACGAGCGAAGTCGGGGAGCGTGGCCATAAACGCGGCCATGAAGGAGGCCATGAAGGTGTTCCTCACCCGGTCAATGGCCGCTTCATTTTTTCACATTTGACAATTTCAGCTCCCAAAAGTCGTAGATGCCACGGCTGCTTGGGTCTAAATCCTTGTTGCGCTGCGACTGTGAGACTATGGCGTGTGGATGCCGATCCAGGTTCTGGCCGTTGCTCCAATAGGTGCTGCAATAGCGCGAGACACCATGCCTCATCCATCCTCACAATCCGCAAGTCAGACGGTTCGTGTGTAGGGAGTAGAGTCTTGTGAACCATGGACATTTCACAGATCACTGCTGTAATTGTGTGTACGCACAGTCTTGTATTTTTAAACGTTGCAAAGCCACCCGTGAAAAACACCACGTTCCCGCCCATGATACCCACTTCAGCATCCCAGAAAGCCATTACTAATAATCCATTCCCTCAACTACACGCCAACTCTCACCAGCCACTGCTTCCAACCCAAGTCTCGACTCGAGTTCCATGCCCTCTGGGTGTCCATCTATCCGTCACACTGTCTTTTTGTCTCATCTTCCAGTCCAATCGTTTGCCCTCCAACCATGACCTCGGGCCATGACGCTGAACCATCCCGGCAGTATCCGCCAGCAACAACTCCCGAAGAGCTCGACCACCTCGTCGAGGTCATCAAGGACTGGGCGATTGGCAACGGTCTCGCGGTTCGGACACCGCCAGCGGTAATTTCTTCGGAAGCAGATCCAACCAGGATAACTGCTGTGCCCGCACCCGTGACACTGTTTCCGACGGCCTTTCCCCGCCAAGCCTTTCTGCAAGGTCAGAAGGCGCAGAACGCATACAACGAGTTGTATGCTGCCGTGAGCAGAGATGAGAATTTCTTGGCAGATGTCGTGAAGCAGCAAGTTCACCGAACCACGGATCTTACGGGGGAACACGCTGCTAACTCCTGTCGCCTAGGGTCATTGATGGCGACGACTTTGTCCGTGATCTGTGGGCGGTCCATGAGACTGTCAAGTCAGAAGGATACACCCAGGTAAGCGTCAACCAGCCGAAGAAAGAATTTGACTAGACTATCAGCCCTTCCTAACTGGACAAGCCGCTTTCATTGGGTCTCTTCCGATCTGATTACATGGTACACGAGCACAAATCTAGCGAGTCGCCCACGGCGCAAGCAAAACAGGTAGAGTTCAACACCATTGCTGCATCATTCGGCGGCCTATCCGTATATGCCTCCAGGCTGCACAACTTTCTGGCAAAAACCGAGTATCCTCTCCTCGGCCAGCCCCTGGCCCCAGAGACCCTGGATCTTCCCGCAAACAACACTATCGAGGGTTTGGCTGGCGGAATTGAGGCGGCTTATCACGCGTATGGCGTTTCCGAACTGGGAAACGTCAAATGCGTGATCTTTCTAGTCCAAGGTGGCGAGCGCAACGTCTTTGACCAGCGCCATCTGGAGTATCAAATTTCCAAGTCGTCGCCCACCATACCTGTCTTCCGGCTAGCCTTCACAGACATCATGAAGCACACTTCTATTGCCAAAAGCCCCAAGCGCCAGCTTCTCTACACGCTCCCCAGAAACGGGAACAGGGTCTTTGAGGTGGCCGTTGTGTATATGCGGGGCGGCTATGGTCCTGACGACTATCCGAATCAGCAAACGTGGGATGCTAGGTGTCATCTTGAACGCTCGCATGCCATCAAGTGCCCCACGGTCCTAACACAGGTAGCCGGCATCAAGAAAGTGCAGCAGGTTCTTGCAACCCCTCGACCGTCGTCTGAGCCGTCGATCCTCAGTAAATTCATCAAGGATGACACGCCGTCCGCCATTGCTCTATGGAACACATTCACCAACATTTACCCCATGGACACGTCGGATGTGGGCTTGGAGGCACGCAAGAAGGCTCTCGATCCCGAACAGTGCGTCGATTATGTTTTGAAGCCGCAGAGGGAAGGGGGCGGAAACAACATCTACGGAAGCGCGATTCCTGGGTTCTTGAAGACAGTGCCAGAGGCTCACTGGAATTCGTACATTCTAATGGAGCTTATTAAAGCGCCGGCCGAAAACAACTTCATCCTGCGCAATGGAGCCATTGAAAAAGGTCGAGTGATTTCTGAGCTCGGGGTATATGGCACCTGCCTTTGGAACCAGGAGACGGGAGAAGTCATTCGAAATGAACAGGCGGGCTGGCTCCTCAGAACCAAGGGCGAAGAAAGCCAAGAGGGAGGCGTTGCTGCCGGATACGGTTGCATGGACAGCGTGTCGCTGACGTGATGATGGCGCGTCACGGCGCCAAAGATGGAGGCAGAAGCTGGAGCGCAAGATGCTCGGGATTCTACTTGGAAACATAGACAGTTATTCATCCGCGGCGCGATGGATACGTTTCAAAATATATTAAATGTTGTCATGGCACTACATAGCCTGGTATCGCCCATATTTGTACAAGAGGAGTCTTACAGGTCCAATCCTAGTCGGAAAACACATAAACGTCTGACAAAATGAAATGGGGGAGATTATTCAGAGCGGAGAGGAGGGGTCTTGATGCGCAACGACCTTCATAAACCCCGTGTTGTATCCGCCGTACTTGGTTGGTGTTATCTTGTCATTCGAGTAGAATTTTTTTACTCGCTCTGGCCGGCGTTCTGGGGTCGCTTGAGAACTTCAATGCTGCCTGTAGTCACGAGTCAAAAGGGGAGTCTTGCGAAAAGGGGAACACCGATACGCACGCTGAACAATATTCAGGCCACTGCGAGTCTGGCCATTGGGGTCCTGGTATGTGCTGATCGTAGCATCACCCTCAACGTAAACCATGGCACTGTTTTGACATGGTTAGCAGGGCAAATCCTCCGACATGGCCCGGTACAGTGGCCGATCGGGCAAAGGTTTTCACCACAGTGAAAACGGCAGGATTGGACAAGGAAGCGCAGGCAAGGCGACGTACCCCTTGGGCAGACTCAGCAAAAAGTCCTTTCGGGGACCCTCAGCAAAGCTGGTAACACGGAACCAGCTGGTCTGGCGGTTGTCCTTGGGGCCAGTGTTGCTGGCGACAGCGTACTTGAGGATCTCGCGACCGCTGCTGGTGGGCTGGATCTCGGGGGTATCGGCAAGATTGCCAATGATGGAGATGCGGGCAACGGATCGCGGCGAGGAGGTGCTGAAGGAGCGGGCAGCGCCAGCAGAGGCGACGGTGGCACGACGGAGAAGGAAGGACGACATTGTGATTAATCGGCTATTTGGAGAGAGGCTCGAATTGGCGTGGCAATGGGCGATGGCGATGGCGGGCGAAGAGACTGTTCGAGGGTGGGATGGGGTGTGTGAGTGCGAAAGGGAAGCGAGCTTGGGTCTGCAGATGCTTGATATCAATTGATCGGCTGCGATTTGATGTCTGGAAGACATGAACGACCAAATGGCCCCTGCCCCTGCCCTGCCCTGCCCTCTCAGGGTGCTGCTGGTCATGCTCAAGTGGTGCGGCACTGCTGGTAACCAATCCGCAGCCGCCCTGGAGGAGGCAGAGCAGAAGCATGGACCACTTGAGGTGGCGGTCGCGTCAGACCGCGTCAAGTCCAAGCTCCATTAATAAGGTATCTAACGGGTATCGCGACGAGCTTTGATTGGCCGCCTTCTTGGATGCATAAAGTCACGAAATGATGGTCAATCTCGACGAATCGTGGGGTCTGCCGTCGGCCATCTGGAAGTCGGCCATTTATGCACTATGCACTCGAACAAAGATATGTCGACGGTTATTCTATACTCCCGACCAAGAGGAAACAAACAGCGCCGTTGCCTGATCTGTACAATTAAGCCCCAACAAGAAGCCTTTCTCTCCTGCAGAACTCGGCATCAGGAACAAAACCCGTCCTCCTTATCCTGTTTCCACATTCTATATTTGGCCAAAGGGGTTCAAGATGCTCCCGTCCATTTAATCTCCAGGGCACCTACAAGGCGCCTCTGTTCTCGCCATTCCCGGCGCGACGGTAAATAGCTTCCGCCATGCGCGAACAGATTCCAGCTCTGGCCCAATGGGATCCGTACCGCCCATCTGCCGAGACTACGTCGTAGTAGTACGTAAGTTACAACCGATCTCTTGCAGATGTTCTCTTCAAGCCGTGTTCTGCACAAACCAGACACCAGACATGTCAACGTGCGCGTTCCTGTTCGCCGCATCGCAGCCACGGTGGGTCTCCCCGTCTCTTCCAGGGGACGTGGCTTCCCGATTTGGGTGTCAATAGACTCACGTCAATAGCCTCAGCTCTACTCGGCATGGCAGGCAAACTTCGACAACAGCCATTGTAAGCTAGAGAATCTTACATCGGGTACTCCCGTTGCTTGAGATGACAGCCACGGCCTTGAGGTATCTGAGGCAAATGTGCAGCTTGCTTCCTTTTTTTTATTTTTGGTGGTGAAACTCTTGCCGTGATATTTGTTTGTATCCTCGTCATGGCCCGGCTGTGTTACTCTATGTCACAATAAAGCCACTATGGGTTGAATCGTGTCTTGTCACTTGCAAAGTTGTATCTTTGTATTGGCTCAATAAGGAAGTTGAATCCTAGACATGCGTCCTACTGTCATCATGTATTCAATACTCTTTTGTCTTTTTGTCTCCTCATTGCCAATTGTCGGGACTCTATAAGACTCCCCCTTCCGCAGGCAGTGATACAATAGGTAGAATGTCTAACTTTTGTGTACGGCTAGTCACAGAAGGAGAGGGAGCTTGGTGAAATCACACAGTCAACTTCGGGCCTCCTTCCATCTCGTCCTTTTTGCGTTGGGATAAGCCGCGAGCTGCTCTTCGTTGTATTCTTCCTCGTGATACCAAGCCCAATCCACCACTTCTCAACAACTCCAGACATGGAGACATCACCACTTCATCTTCTCCAGGCTCGCGGCCCAGTCACCGTCGTAGCAAGTGCTCCGACGTTCCCTCCCTACACTTCTCCGGGCTTGACTGCCAACCTAGTTTGTCGAGTCTTGCTCGCCGTTGTGGCCAACTTGGTTTGCCTCGTTCCCCTTCGCCTGCTGTACCGCAACGGCGAGCTTGCCGCAGTAGTGTTTATCCTGAATATCCAGATTAAGAACCTCGAGACCATCATAAACGCACTCATCTGGCGCAACGACGACATCATGTCATGGTGGGCTGGCTACGGCTGGTGTGATTTCGACGCCTACATCCACAACATCAGCATCGGGCTTTTTGTTACCTGTCTGCTGGCCATTATGCGCAACCTGGCGCAACAAGTTGGTTTGATGAGAGCCAATGCGCTTACAACGAGAGAGAGACGTCGCCGCAATTTGATCCAGGCGCTCATCATCTTCCCCTTTCCCATCCTCCAGCTCGCATTGACTTGGCCACTTACAGCCCAGCGCTATTTGGTTGGCACGCTGATGGGTTGCAACTGGATACCGCATCCCTCTTGGCCATTTCTTATCTTCTTTGTTTTGCCGCCTCCAATCTTTGCCTTGATTACCACGGGATATGCTAGTAAGTGCCTCGCCGAGTGCCTCGTGAAGACGTGAGCTAACATATACATCCTCTTCTCCTCTCCCCTTCTAGTTCTTATTTACAAGAGATTTCGACAAGTTCACAAGACGACCGAAACGGCTCTCTGCGGCAACCGCATTGCACAGCAGAGGAGCCAGCGAACAAGAAGAAAGCTCTATCTCATGGTCATTTCAATTCTCGTTCCGTTTCTCCCCATAGTCATTGCACTGTCCGTACTCAACATTATGGACATGCGTGGCATTAAGCCATACAGCTACGATCAAGTTCATAACCATGCTTCCCCATTCCCATGGAACACAATCATTTTCTTTCCTTCAAGTGAGATCAGTTGGACCTACATGAACAACTGCTACATCCCAATTGCCACCGCCATTCCTATTTTTGTCTTTTTCGGTCTCACCAAGGATGCCATCAACGACTACCGGCAGGTTTTCCTCTTCTTTGGCTTCGGTGCCATCTTTCCAGGTCTACACAACGAGTATGATCCCGACAGAACCGTGACTACAAGCGGAGGCTCCTTTGGATCTGGCCGCCTTCAGCAAACGCTGACTAGGTAATATTCCCAGGCTTTTGTTTGTTTTCTCACCGTGATCTCTCTGCTAACACCAACACTACACAGCGTGCCATCAAAGGCCGAGATTCCCACCTCGTCCAATCCGTCCAGCCAGACCGTGCCCCTTGGAATCGAAGGTTCGTTGAGTCACGAGCCGAGACAACCAGGTCCGCATTGCTCCATGGAGGTTGAGCCAGCCACTCAACCTACCAGGCTCCCTGGTAATAATCCCTTCCTATTCCGTACTCGCCATACCACTACTGTACCGCCATCTCTACGACGATGCTTCCAGGTGAAGAAAAGCCAGCAAAGTGCTGAGATTGTATCACATCTGGGTCCAGTTCATTCAAGTTCGCCTTTGACGAAAACCCGTCATGGACCAGGTCTGTCCGAAGCTAATGTTCAGACGACAGTTTGGTGTGGGGATGGAGGCGAGTCCGGCCCATTTGAGTCTGTCCGGATTGTCAGGAAGGCAGCACCTAGGAGTGTCCACGTTCAAACAGCGGTGTCACGAAAGACCGAAACTATCACAAACTAACATGATGCGATTCATGCGACGGATGGGCGGTCTTGCAAGACGGCGCGCGGTTGAAGGAGGATCTTGCTTTTGGGCTGTATTTTAGCTAGATGCCGCGAACCAAGACGAATGGCGAATACACAAATATTTTCATGTTGTAAAATTGGCCAAATACTTGAAAAGTCAATTAATTGAGTACCAAGGAATTAACATTGTCATATATTATCAGAGAAGGCCCATCCACGCGGGCCGCGAAGCAGACGGTAAAAAACTCCGGTTCTATGCCATGTACCCCCAATCATGCCACCTCTATGTAGTTACCGATTCACTGGACACGGTAAGAGGATGTATAGTCCTTTTACATCATGTCTAGTCGTCACACTCCTGCGCGCACTGGCTGCCCTGGCTTGTCCGTCTCAGAATCCCACCCATTACGCCATGGTATCAAACAATTTTGCAAATTCGTTCAAATCCATGACAACAAAAGATCAGAAATAAACAATCAAAGAATCAAGAGCAACTTTTGATTAGTACTTGCGCGTTTTCGACACCCAAAAGGACTACTGTTTTGTTCTCCGTATGAAATCGTCAAAGTCAAGACTGTCGTTGTGGTGTTTGGATAGAAAATGGAAGGAGTCAATGAGACATGCAGCCATTCCTGCCTTGTTTCCTGCATGTGACCACTGACTAGCGAGCGCCTTTCTGCATTTTCCGCATGGCCTCTCTGTGAGCGTCAAGCATGTCTCCGTTTCGCATCCGCTCGTCAAATGCACGGTCTGCATGTTCTCTCTCACGTTTTTGCGATTCTCTGCGCTGTGCTTCTGCCTCTTTCTGTCCCATGAGAACGCTCCGTTGCATTTCGATGTTGCGCTGCACTTCTGCCTCTCGGCCGCCGCCCAGTAAAGTCGATGGCCCGAACGGCGTTTCACGTCCTGAAGGCATTATAATCGGTGTTCCTGAACGGAGTTCCTGCTGTACAGATTGTCGGAAACTGGCCAGCTGAGCCTCTCGCACGGCCTGTGTGGGAAGAGTAGATACTCTCCTGGGTTGGTGAGAGTTGAATACGATGCTTTCAGAGCTCTCAAATCCAGATGTGGGCCGTGACGGCGCCTTTATGGATTGGGATGGCGAACGTGACAAGGACATCAAGCTGCTTTGGCGCATGATCTCCTTCCGTTGACTTAAAGGAACATCGTCAGGATCGGCCACGTTGAAGGCAGCAGCATACGTAGGATAGTTGAAAAGCGAGCCGGCGTCGCTGCCAGGTCCCTGGTGTGCGAATATAGGCTCTGGCGTGCTTGACAACAGGCTTCCCTGAGACTTGCTTCGAAGGAACATTTCACGTTGTCCAATGAGGGTTTGGGGACTCGAGTACGAAACTACACCTGACGTTGGATTTCGTCCCAGTACTGTCGCCGGAGAACCGTCTAGTACGATTGCTGACGAGTTGTTCGAAGCTGGCTGTTGCTTCTCAGATGCTTCATCCCGGACAATGGGCGAGTCTACCGCCTGAAGAGAGTTCTCCTCAGCGATTGGCATGAAGTTGGACGTCGAATGTCGAGGGCCAGAGGACTTTCGAAGAAGCGCTGCAGGCGCTATGACAGGCGATAATGGCGTTCGCTGTTCGCCGGACGTTTCTAATCCTGTTGAAGATGAAGGCGTTACAAGACGTGTGGGTGGTGATAGGTCTTGTTTTGAGGAACGCTTGGCTAGGTGAGTATTGTTTCCCATGTCTGAAGCTTGAGATATTGATCGCCTCACGGCCGGTGCAGGAGTTCCATCCTTAGCTGTCTTCTGAAGCTCTGCAACATTGACCGGAGCAGCCTTCTCAGTACTGTTTTTTACCTCCTTTGTTCTTCCAAGAGTAACTTGCAGTGCATCAGGTTCAGGACACTCGGCATTGCTCAAGTGCTTCGCCCACTCATTAGTTCTATAAGACATGGCGGCTTTCGAAAGCGGCCTAGGCAAGCGATCCTTGGTCAAGCTCGCGGGAGTAGAAGAAGCGGTTGCAACGGACTTAGCTCGTTCCGAGGCTTCGGGAGGAGTCAAGTCGGCGCATGGTTCACCACCCAGTTGCACAGTCTTGTCTTCTGACGTTGGCAATGTATCTCTAAGCTCAGTGGTGGTATCTTCATTTGGCTCACTGATGCCAACGACCGGGCTAGAGGTTGCGGTCGAAGTTGGGCCAGACCTTGTTTTTGGTTTCGTCGACTTGACACTATGTCGTATTGTGTCGCCTTTTTTGCCAAGCTGAGCATCAATCTCAATGCTCCGTCTATTCGTTTCATCACCCTCGTGGATATTGCGCAGTTCATCATCACCGGTTATTGAATGAAGATTTCCTCCGCTGACGCTTTCATCGTCAATAGTAGCTGCCAAGGATCCTCCTTCATTCTCAGGTCTGCGAGTCTTCTCCAAAAAAAGTTCCTCAGTGCTCTCACCCGCATCGGAGGCCACGTCGCCTCCTACACCTCCTGTACGGCCAGATCTCTGAGAAAAGCTTCGAAGGAGTGTCACAGATCCTTGAGATAGCCTCTTTACGAGCGACCTGTGCTTCAACGGCTCAGCAGCGGTCGCCTCCACGTCATCAGCAAAAGTGGCAATCGAAGATCGGTCTCCCTCGGACGCAGAATCAGCTGCTTCAGGGACAGTGAATGGCAATGAAATCACCTCAGGCACCTCCGTCATAGTGTGAGCCTGGGGGCGGCGCTTGCCAGCCGTGGTTTCCTTTGAGTGCCACTTCCCGTCTGTGGGCACATTTGCTTCCAAACTTGAAGGCGCCTTTTCATCCAGCCGTTCTGCCTCAATATCCGTCGTCGAGTCAGGGACGTCATCAGCAGCGACCCGAACAGTAATTTTTCCTTCGTCGGTGTCTTCATTGGCCATTAATCCGTCCATTCCGTTTCTCGATGAGTCCGACTCCGACATGTCTGCCATTTCGATGACCTCGCCAGAAGTGCGTTGCTTAGATTCAACATAACTGGGCCGGAGTTTCTTTTCGCTTCCCACATCTCCATAGTCAGTTGCACGAGAGTCGGTGATGCTGTGGCTCATGCCATCTCCGTATGCTCGTTCCCATTGACGCCGTTCCCGAGCATTCAGGTCTTCAATATGGCGTCCGACATTTTCTTCCTCATGTTCCAAATTGCGTTGATCCTCAGCGCGCTCAGCGGCCCTCTTTTCTCTCTTCTCACGGACAATTCTCCACAGTTTGATCTGCGAAATTATGCCAACTAAGAAAATGATTATCACAGCTGCTGTCTCAACCCGGATGCCCTTCGTCACAGGATAGGTATCCGCGCCAAGGGGGAACAGGTTGTCGTTAATGTCCCACACATAGGCCCAGAATTCTTTGAGGCCAGCCCGGCTGAAGCAATCGATACCTAAAACAGTGATTGTAGCACCTCCGAAGGATATCATGAAGATAAGGGCCCAGTCCCGTGTCCATCGGCTGAAGTAGAACGCAAAGCCAGCGATTGTAAAGACTGCAATGAATATGGCTTTGGAGGCAACTGCGTGCAACAGTCCACCGGGAACCAAACAAAGAAGCCACATACTAATGCAAAATCCACCCAAGGCACACCCAAATCCTTCGGTAAGTTCCTTGAAAAACATTGCTGCGGCGCCAATAGCGCAACCTGACATGACCACAGCAACAACGTACCCGCCTTGCAATGCGTTACTGACGGGAACATTCATAACGTATACGATTAACACTGATACGCCAAGCGCCGTCATATACGCAGTGGAAAAGAAGGTGTGGATCCATCTGTTCTTTATTCCAACCAGTGTGTAAATCACGCCGGTTACGAGCATAATGACTCCTGCGACTCCCCAGCCGGGAGTGAGTCGGGGTGGCAGTGGTAGCTGACCATTAGGTATCGTTGCTGGTTGGAAGAGTTAGCTTTCAGGGGAGAACTATCCAGTCATACCACACGAATTCTCATACCGTTAAAGAATGTGGCATTGTCCAAGGGTCCGTCAGTGGCAATGGTGAGCGGCAGAGTACTCGTCGGACGGTTTGTCGAAGTTGGCGCGTCGGTGATGGTGCCACTCAATGTCGATGAAAGCGACTCTCCTCCTCTTTCTTTTGGGTCCTTCCCATCATTGTCTATTTGAGCAGAATTGGTCCCTTTCGGTGCCGATGAAGATGAGGTCGGTATAGTCGTAGGTGTCGGATTGTCGTCCCTCTTGACAACATCAAAACTCTGCGAAACTGCACTCTGGACGATCAAAGCCAAACACAGAAAAGCCCACAGGCGCGCTGTTTTAGGGAGCATGGTTTAGTCGAGGTTACCAAGATTGTCAGAGACCGAGACGGGATAGATTTTGCCGGGCAATGCTCAGAGCGGCTTATATGAGCCTGTGAAGCATGATCGAGAGTCCCAGGCACAATTGTGGAAAGGAGGGGACAAGGAGTTGAGGTCCAAAGTGAAAAGAAAGCAATGAAAAACTCGGCAAGTCCTTGGCTAAAGGAAAGAAGAAACGATTGGTTACTACACCCTGAGGGTTGTATATGTTGCTAACAGGAAGACGATATGCTCTGCGAACAGCTGGTAGGAGGAAGAGACTGGTCCATGAAACAGTCGACGACGACGAGCGAGAAGGCAAAATACGAATACTAGTGAAAACCTGCTGTTTAGGTCGAAGGGAAAAAGTAAAGAGCACTCGGCAATCTTGCAACGAATAAGCAAAGGTTATGGGTGCATAAACACGACCGATACGCCAAAGAAAGACAGAGGAGAGAACTGGATGTTGGCTATAGGCTGGGCGACCAGCTTTTCTCAGACCCATGGCCATCCCCAGAAGACAAATCAGTTGCTCTATTGCCGGATCTAGGACTGCATTGGCGTCATCCAAGCGTCAGGACGAACAACTGAAAGTGAAAACGACCCCGGTTCAAACGGGCGAGTGGTCAGAGACACAAGGCGATAGCATCCGGCCGCAGGTTGTAGGGCCAATTTCCCAGCTGGGGTTCCAGTGGAGTTCACCATGTGGATGACGGGCATGAGCATAGACGGTGGTAGGACAAGCACTCGACAGAGCGGGCGGAGCATCTCATTTGTCCACATGCTAATGCTCCTCACTCGCAGGTTACACAATGATGGAAAGCTCACGGTGGTTCGTTCCCATATTGCGGGATTGGCATGATATTGAAAGACTTTGTTCGTTCGGTATGAGGGGGGAAGGCTCTCACAAGAAACGCCTGCTTCTCTACGGAGCACCAAGCACTTCATCGCTCGTACCAGACGCTTGCTCTACACCCACGGCTTCTAAATCGATACTATACCCCAACTAGCGACGTCGTCCACTTGCCAGGCCAGTCCCGATCGGCGGAGACAGGGGCAGTTCCTAAAAAGCAGCTGGCCCTGTACAATACATACAAACCATCAGTTGTATGTACATATATGTAAGTAGTATGTACGGAGTAGTACGGAGTAGTACGGAGTACCGTCAAGTCGGCAGAGGGTGGAGTCCTTTGGTATCCCCATACAATGGGCCATGTTGGCAGTCCGCCGGGCTGGACCGATGTGTGGTAATATCCATCTACGGCTTCAGCAGCAGGGATGCCAGGGAAGACACTACCGGAGGGCCGACAAATAGCCCATGTAGCTGTTCTTTTATGGATTGGTCCTAACCTGCCGGGCTGCCCACCACTCAACCACTTGAGCGCTCATGGTCGCTAGCTCAGGTACAAGCGTACGCGCCAAGTTGCGCCACGCATTTCTACCTTGCGGTCAGTGTGACATCCATTCCGGAAAGGAGGGTTTTATTAGCTGAATCGAAAGGCGACCAAGGACGCCTTGGTGGCGCGGTGTGACTGGACAATGGTTGCTGGTTTGGTCACAGCCTCGCAGCGAGCGATGAAATGAAGGCATCAACGGTTCCCGCAAGATGGGCATCAAACACATGAACAAACACCTGGCCTGCTTCACGCATGTGTTGCAGAGTAACAATATGTCAGATGTGGTTGTTCCATGTCTGTCTCAGTTGGCAAATCCCCGCGACGCAGTCAGATCTTCTCGTTTCAATCAATCACAGTGTACGGAATAGTAGTGAAGCAGCAACGACAAACTCCCCTCCTGCTCCATTTATATGCACCAAGTACGGAGTACAATGCGGAGTACATGTACGGAGTGCGGCCTGGTTTTGGAGTATCATGCATCTGAGTTCTCTCGGACAAGCCGTTTGAGATCTCCGAGTCCGGGCTCATAGGCACTCAGTTGCCAGTTGGCTCGTGGCCAGCAAAACCAGATGTGACGGCACGTACTCCATTGCGCACAACTCGAAAAAGAAGCGTTACATTGGTCTACAGCCCAGAGCATCGAGAGCAGTATTCAGGACATGTTTGCTCAGAGGTTCGCTGTCAAGAAAAACTAATACATCACGAGTATGCTCTAACAATGACACATTTCTGGTCATGCAGAAGACTTACAACGGCAGAAACGGAAAAGCACTATCCATCCGAGTCGTGTCTATTAGTCTGAAGGCAGGGGTATGTTGCCGGCGTGGTGGTAGTACTAGTACTTTCTTTTATCATGACCCCTGTCAACATCCCTTTCATCAGGTAGCCAACAGCCCTCAATGATCCTTTGACGTTCTCGCCTCAGCCTCAACCCTGGCAATGTTATGCGTGTAGCAGATGGCCGCTCTGGCCGGATCACGGTCTGTCTACTCGCGGCAGTGTCCCCCTTAATTTGTCACCAGCTGTAGCTTTTGCAGTTCCGGAACCAACAGTCTGGAGTCAGCTGCTCGCCAGTGGTGTGTTGCGGTTAGCCTCTCTATGGATTTGCGGCATGTGTGGCAACAGACACATCCCAGTCAAGAAGGAGAAGAAGAAGGAGAAGAAACTAATACTAGAAATTGATGTGGACGGCTGAGTGAGATAACGCAGGCAACTAGCAGAAAGGTTCGTACAATTCAAAGCAGCTCTCCACTTACAACGAATACTAACTATTGTATATCTGCACGCCGTGCCACTCAGTCCATGCTCTTTACAATGCAATTACGGAGTACTACTAATACAAGCGTAGCTGCTTACACTTTTGCCAGATTTGTACGCGACAAGACTGGCTCGAAGTTTGACAACTCATCAAACATGCACACCGCCGCCTCGTAAGCCGGACGCATTTTTGGGGCTGGCGTACGGAGTATTACACAGGTGAAGGCGCCCGCCTGTCCAACTCCGGCGCTTTGCATTGGAGAAACAGGAAAATTTACACGTCCGCGAAATTAAAGAGGGAATTTTGGCTTTGTGGGATAGGAATAGCATTCTCTTGGCTCTGGGGTGCTTATGCCATCCATCCATTGAGAGATGGCGACAGGCCACGGCTCGCGCGCCACATCCCTGTTCATAGAAGTTGGCAGTGATACGGAGTAGAACCATCCCAAGATACGACTACTACTGGTCCCGTCCGGCTTCCCGATCGAACTCATCAATCATGGCCCATGGGTGCGCATGACACCCGGAGGTCCCGCGCAACCAGGCTCAGGACGCCGTTAGTGGCTTCTGTACGGAACACCCATCAACGGCAACGCGTTGTTAAATTAAAACGACCCACCTGAGAATGCGCTACGAGACGATCCCACGCTAGATGTCCTTCAGCTGGCTTGGTCCCGATCGACGATGGTAGCCGACGACATGGGAGCCTACGGCCAGCGCATATCGTCTTGCATAATACTACTCTGTACGGAGACGGGATACATGAACCTACGAGGTTTCGATCCAAGGTGAAGATATCGCCTCGGCTTCACCGTGGCTGTGTACCTAGAATCGCTATTATCGTTGTCGGTACGGAGGATTGCGCTGACGGGTTGTCGTGCATGTGTGCTTTTGTCATACGCACGAAAACATCTTTTGGTCGCACAAATAATCAAGTGATGCGGTATAGATGTGCCTCAGCAGCTAATTATTTCAGTGCCATGCTCTAGGCTACGATTGTGTTACAAACCGCATGATAGAGTTTGAGCTACCTACTATACTGATGGCTCGGAGGGACTTGAAAAAGGCACACGATGGTTGTCAGCATCCCGAATACCCTGAGTGAGGCTGGCCATAATATCCAGCCCGTCGGGAGGTTCCATCAGAGTGAACTTTTGTTGCCAGCCAATGTGCTTGCGTAGCAGCCCAGCACCATCCCAAGCCCTTGGTCATGCGAGCCGTCCAAGTCAGTCATTTGGGACCAAGGGGGCCACAGAGCTAGCCGAGAGGAATTTCTACTCCGTATCCGACCGCGAGGAAAGAGAGAAATTATGAGAATCCTTGGTGCCCGAACCTCGTCTGGCCAACACATTGGCATCGCGTTCAAGACTCGTGCGCCCGCACTCGCTCTACCTGGGACGCCAGCCAGGCAAATCGCAAGGCCACGTTTTCTAGCAATACTATGCAATGCGTGTCTCGGACAGCTGTCACGATCGTTGTCCTATGTACTCCATATTTCCTGTTCTGATTTTTTCCCTTGGAATAAAATGGCTCCATTTACATACTACCTACTTAGGTAGTCATCAACCTGGGCGTCGTTGTTCGCGACCGGCTGCACGAGCTTCACGTGCGCCATTGCACAAAGGTCAAGCCTGCGATCACGGCAGGCGTTCAATCGTCTTGCGAGTGGCGGTCTTGAGCGAAGGACCAAGTTACTAGTAGCCCGGAGCGACACTGTGATGATGCAAGTCTAGAACAGAACACAGAAGAGAACTCTGCATATGCCCATGCTCCGTACAATGCGATGCGTACACCTGGCAGATTCCGCGCACAGGGTAGCCACGAAATGTCACAAAGGACGTGGCGAGTCTCGGCGACCAAGTGTGCAGCACATACATAGTTACTCTGTGGTCTCGGGCAAAAAATGGCTTTTATTTTTTTCTTTTTTGGCCCGTCGCCAAGGGCATACGCAGCAGTATGCGTTGATAATGGGCATAAGTACATATCATAGCATCACATATCATATGCAGGCGACGAAATGCAGGGGCCGCAAATACATACATACGCCACAACTATCAGGAACCACAGTCTGTGCTTCTTTAGGCGGCGCTCTCGACACGCGAGAGTCAGGGTAGCTTTCTTCAACTAGCGGGGCAATTTCAGTGGCCTTCTCAGTCATTAGCAATTCACTGATATACTACGGAGTACTCCGTAGGTCATGAAGGGTTGGGCAATTTGCATGATTCCATTTCATCATTCATTTGAACGGGCCGGTTCTCGAACCAAGAGAATGTCTTAGCCTTGGTGAAGACACGCGAGATTACGGATGTAGACGACGAATTAGAATGTTTATTTCCT